GAGTTCAACACCAGCCTGAGCAAGAGCAAGACCCCATCTCTACAAACAATAGAAAAATTGGCCAGGTGTGGTACAGTGTGCATGTAGTCTTAGCTACTCAGGAGGTTGAGGTAAGAGGATCCCTTGAGCCCAGGAGTTTGAGGTTGCAGTGAGCTATGATGACACCACTGCACTCTAGCCCAGGAGACAGGATGAGACATTTAAATAAATAAACACACAGACAAGTAAAAAGTCCAAGAAAAGAAAAAGACACACTATTACAAATCAAAGGAATGCTGGAGTAACTATAATAACATCAGACAGAGTAGATTTTAGAAGACAGAATTTTAAAAGGAATAAAGGGTGTTATTTTACAATAAAGTGATCAGTTCTTCAAGAAGATATAAAAATCCTCAATGCTATGTACCTACTAACAGAGCTTCAAAACATATAGAGAAAAAGCTATTTGAATTAAAAGAAGAAATAGCCAAATCCACATACCTAGTTGGAAAATTCAGCACCTCTCTTTAAGTAATTAACAGAACAAGTAGACAAAATCAATAAGAATATAGAACATTTGAAAACACTATCAGCCAATTTTATCTAATTGTCATTTGTAGAATACTCTACAGTGCCAACAGTGGCAGAATACACTTTCAAGTGTATACAGAACATTTACTAACATAGACCAAACTTCGTGCCGTAACAGAAGTGTCAGAAAATTTAAAAGGATTAAAATCACACAAAACATATTCTCTAACTACAATGAAAATCAATTCGAAAGGTATCTGGGAAATGCCAAATATATGAAAACTAAACAAACATTTCTAGACAATCTCCTAAATGAAAGAAGATATCAAAAGGAAATTTAAAGGTATTTTGGGGTGAATGAAAATGAAACGCGGCATATCAAAATTTGCAGAATGCAGCTTAAGTGTAGCTTAGAGGTAAATTTATAGCTTTGAACACTTGTATTGGAAAAGCATAAAGTTTTAAAATCGAATACCTAAACTTGTACCTTAAGAAACTAAAAAAAAAAAGCAAAGCAAATGAAACCCAAAGTAAGGAGAAGAAATAATAAAGATTGGTGCAGAAATAATTAAAATGGAAAACGTGAACATTAGAGAAAGTCAATGAAATTCTGGTTCTTTGAGAAGATTAATAAAATTCATAGACCCCTAGCCAGACTTATCAGCAGAGAGAGAGAGAAAACACAAATTACTAACCTCAAGAATGAGAGAGGTGACATCACTACGGATGCTACAGATGTTCAAAGGATAATGTGGAAATACTGTGAACACCTTTACCCCGGCACCTCTTTCTTAGGGCAGAATGTCCATCTAGCTTGCTGAAGCCTGATGGGCAGGGCTCAGATAATTATTGTTTGTGGCTATTTTCCGTATGATATAGACTTAAATAACTTAGAAATGTATGCCTGTTTTTAAACTTTAAATAATTTTTACTAGAAATATAAATGCTACAACTTTTTAATTTAATTTTAGGTACATATCAATTTTTAGGACAGCTGTACAAAATGAGGTGCAAAAAGTTAAAACTGCAATGAAAACTATGGGACCAGCAAAAGTTGAAGTACCTTCTCCAAAGGATTTCCTAAAGAAACATTCAAAGGAAAAAGTTCTACCACCAAGTAGGTTTTATCACTCTTATTATTAAAAATGTTAGATGGGCCCAGCCCAGTGGCTCACACCTATAATCCTAGTACTTTGGGAGGATCACTTGAGGCCAGGAGTTTGAGACCAGCCTGGGCAATAGTGAGACCCCGTCTCTCCAAAAAATAAAAAATTAGCTGCGCATGATGGTGTGTGACTGTAGTCCCAGCTACTCTGGAGGCCGAGGCAGGAGGATCACTTGAGCCGAGGAAGTTTGAGGTTGCAGTGAGCTGTGATGATGATGCTGCTTTCTAGCCCAGGCAACAGAGCCCTCTGAGACCTTATCTCAAAAAAAAAAAAAAAAAAATTATATAAACTCTTAAAAAGGTCAAACAATGCAGAAATGAATAAAGTCAAAGTCCCTAGTAATTGTGATGGGGTTAAGATTGTAGTGAGGCCTTGTCAAGATAGTTGTTGCTTTTGGTTCTTGGAAATAAATTATAATTATTTCACTTTTTAGCATTTTGACAAACCATTTTGACGTGGCCGTAATGAGATTTGTTGGAATGGTCAAACTGAAGAGGCTGTGTTAAAATGGCCAATTTCATCTGCTATTAATGACGAGAGTGTGGTATAGAGAAATAAATAAGATAAATTCTGGACAATAGTTACTTTAGGATGTAATCGGGGAAAAGTGAATAAAAAATTTCAGCTATATTGGTAACGTTTTATTTGTTAAGCTGTGTGTTGGGTACACAGCCATGACATGATTTTTATACCTCGGTATAATAACGGTTTTACTGGAAAATCCATAGCTTCTTGGACTTTTGGTACATCAAGTGTGATTTCTTTACTTGGTGATTTTACAGTAATTTTCCTCTGAAGAAGCAATTACTGGTAATATTGATGACAGAAAAGAGTTTTAATGTTTTTCATTTAAACCTGCTTTAAAC